CGCAAGGTCTTCGAAGCAGCGAGGGTGATGGCTGTGGCAAATGTGGCGCAGCGCGTAAGCAAGGAGTGGACGGTAATTACCCGACTCGAGAAACATCCGTGGCTCCAAGGAGATACTCAAAACTTTCAAAGAAGAGAAACGCACCGTCCTTCGTCACGAAAGCGATCGTCGTGTCCATATCGGCGGCTCGGAACACGCTGCTGATCAGGTTGGAGACGGGAACCGCGAGATTGTGCACTCGAACGCGCCTCTCGCCAGCGGCCGACGTGTAAAGGGCGGCGCACTGGAAGTACGCGTCGACCTTTTCGTCGAGCTTGCCTTCGTGCTTGATGCGCGCTGCGATGGCTTTGTCGGCATCGATGGTGCCGAACTCGAGATCAGTGATGTTGCGTTGGAAGAAGTTCCCGTAGTGGTCGGCGATGCGGAGCCCTGCGAGGGAGGATGTTCCGGATCAATGAGAAGCTGCTCAAGCAAAGAGCGCACGATGTTGACTGACCGTTCGAGCAACGAATGCGCATTGTGACGCTGCAAGCTGTCTCGCGCTGGAGCACGCGAGCAATCTCGGCGCGGAGCACGAGGCCATCGCGAATCGGGTCGAACCGCGGGTGGAAGAAGAGATCTCCTCCCGTCAGTCCGGGCAAGGCGCCTACGGAAGCAAGTGATCAGAGGCGGCGGTTTCTGCTGTAGAGCACGGAAGAGCACGACTCACCCAACGTGGCGGCGTCGATGTACTGCGACGGGAAGAGGAACAGATTGATCCCGATGCCGGCTTCGACACACTCCTCTGCCGCAATACGATAGAACGGATCTTGAGGGATGAACAAAGTCTTCTCTTTCTCGGTGCCGTACAGCTTGCTGTCTTCACGGTGCTTGAGCGCGCCGAGGCCGACGGTAGGCAGCGAGGTCTGGAAGATGTTGAGCTGTCCGCCGAGGTTTTTCTGTAGGGGTGGCTCATCAAGGCATCAGCTCGTGCGCCTTGACAGGATTGCGACGGAGAAAGGGGTATTTACCAGTGCCATCATGGTCGCCTTGAGCGGCCCAGTCATGGCTGATTCGACGATGCTCGAAGCCGCATAGAGACCCGGCAAGCTGTCGAGCAAACCTTCGATGATGCCTCGGGAGGACATGGGATCGACCAAGAAGCCCTCGTTCAACGGCAGGAACATGTCGGTGATGTCGGGAACGACGAGCATCTGCGCCTGGTCGAGGCCAGCCTGAGAGATCAAAGCGGTGGCGTCAACCTGTGGCTACATCTTGACCTCGCCTCGCGGGAAATACACACCTTGAGATTGTAGAACTGTACAGTCCGGTCGAACGTCACGATCGCCACCTTTGCGCCGGCGGGTAGTCCAGGTCGACCGAGGTGCGGGCCGCTCGTCGCATGCTCCGCCTCGTCGTGAAAGAGCAACTCCTTGAGATGCTTGGTGACCTCGGCGACCACGCCACATTGTATGCTCGTCCAGCTGACATCGATCGCAAAGACGTAATGCAGCGGCGTTGGCGCGCGCGGAAGCGAGCCGGGCACGTTCGGGTCGTCCTGCACCCAGTAATCCCGATTGACGACAAAGTCGACGGAGCCAGACCGGAGTTCGGGCCGTTGGTCCAGGTCGATGCGTCGTTGGGACATGTCGAGGTGGCTAAAGTATTCCGGTGCGACTGCGAAAAGAGCACCGTCAGCGGAGAGCGCCTGACCGTCCCGTGGGAAACTGGAACGCACCTTCACTCGCGTGACCGCACAGGTTGCAGATGAACTTTTGGCCGCCCTCGACGAATACACACCACGGGTTGACGTACCCCCGGCATCGCTCGCACCGCGGCGGTCCCGTCTCGCCAAAGTCGACGACAGGTATCGGTTCTTCTTCGGGTCGCAACGCAGCGAATGGTTGAACGACCATGCCGAGAGGCAGCTGCGACGCGACTGCTAGGTCGTCCGTTGCCGGCAGGCTGTAGGTGGTCATGCGGAGGAAGCGCGGGTTGCAGTTGCCTGTGGTTCGGACCGCGACATCGAGGTCAGTCCCGAATTCTATGGAGCCTGGCCTCGTACGAGCTGGGGCGTACCTTGATCGACAGCCACAAAGTCTGTGCTGGCAAGAGGAGCAGGCGTGCGGGAGCAAGTCAAGTAGGGCTCGGTCCGGTAGAGTTGCTGATCGGCTTCCTGCACGTTGACGGGGCTCGGGATGTGGTCCGGATCGATGCGGATGCGTTGCTTTCCTGGAATGCGCTGTCCGGCCGTATGCGGGGGTTGAGGGATGCCCGGGCCGTCGTTCTGGTACGAGGCAGGAGGTGCCGATCGAGGGTCGAGAGGGGCGGACGAAGGCGGCGCGCTCTGGTAATGCGGGTTCTGCATCATGCCGTTCGACGGCGGCGGCTGAGACGACTCGGAGAACTGCTGGGGCGGGAAGTACGAGGGTTGACCTGGGGGCAGGTGCGAGCCGGACGGGGTTGGCTGTGGGGCCGGGCTGACGCCTTGGTCATGATACGCGCGGGCGGCCCGTTTGCCGCGCGCAGGTACGACGGCTTGTGGGGCGAGTGAATCTGGAGTCTGTAGGCAGACGCCAGGCAAACGGTCAGCACGTCGTGTGTCCCCTCGAGGGTCAGGTAGAAGACCTACGGAAACTTCGCGGTTCGGAGACGACTGCAGCCCCATGTGAGCCATCCCCGCGGCGAGGTGGTCCGGTTCCGATATCGGCGGCGGCATGTTTGGCAGTCCCTGCAGGTGCGGGTACGCACTCGGGGGCGCCGATGCTGGTGAAGTGCCGTGAAGCGGATGCCCTCCGGGAGCGAGGGAGGGATATCCGGGTCGCGAGTCTGACGGCGAAGGCATCGGTGCACCTTGTTGCGGGAGGGGGGACAGCCTACGCGCGTCTGCTCCAGGCCCTCCGTACGTCGGATCGTGAGGGCTTGGCCACGGCGGGCCTGTCGGCGGTACGTGTTGCTGAAAGCGAGGGTCCATGGCGACCACCGCGGCTGGGCACGGGCGAGGCTACCGGTGAAACGGTGCGGCACTCGTGTGAGACTTGGTCCCTTCGCAAGTCGACTCGGTTCCACGGGTGGACGTGAGCACACGAAGGCGATCCGATTCGCTCGACGCGCTGAAGGTGACTTTGCGATTCACGGCGACTCGGCGTCGCCCCACTCGCGGCCAGGGGTCGACCCCTCCGCTGCACACGCACTCTCGAATCGCGGCAAGAGCAGCACGGCATCGGAAGCGACCGTCATGGTATGTCAGCCTGCGCGGCCCACCAGCGCGGCCCGACTCCGCGGCATGCCCCTCCTGACGATTGCCGGTCTATCGTCCGTGACAACAGAGTTTTCAAGACCTAGAGCGAGGCGCGCGAGACCGGGCACCTGTGATGGGTTCTACAGACACTAGCAAGCCACTCCCTTTCCGTGTGTCTCTTCAGACATCCGCTTGACTCGAGTCCCCTCTCGAATAGGCGACGACGCCGGATTCCGGGCACTGGCGAGGCGGGTTTCGGTGCAGGTTCAAAAGATTTCCGCCAACACAGCAGCCATTTCGAAACTCGTCGAGCTCTTGGGCACACCTCGGGACAACCCGACCTTGAGGACGCGCCTGTCGGTTTTCCGCGGCGGCTGATCTTGCAGAAACGCGTTCGAGGGCTGATGTTGTGGTTTTGCAGGCACGACTTGCAAGATTCCACTCGCGAAGTGCTCAAGAGCTCGACCGGGGACGTAAAACACCTGGGCGATTGGCGGCTCGGGCCGGACAAGGTACGCCAACTTGGTGGCTGCGCGTCTCTACTGTGCTCCCGCGAGACCGGAAGCAGCTCTGGCGGCGTCCCTACAGACACAGTTTGACCCGTATGTATTGTCACAGGTCCAATTGCGACAGGAACAGCAAAAAGTCACCGCAGATTTTCAGCGCGCCCTGGAACTCTTCCAAATCACCTCGCGGCGCAGCGCTGAACGTCAGCGACTATATGTCCAGGAGGCGAGAGCAAGAGTGGAGCAAGAACAGGACCGTTTGTGCGTATCCGGTTCTTTTCGCCGCGCCCTTTTACATGTCCTGACCTTTTCGTATACGCGTTTCAAGGGAGCCGAATGTCGCCTCATCCGCCGAGCAGCTTGTCGAGTTGTACGCCGCCTACTCTTACCGAGCAAAGTGGGATCGGAAGTGATGCTGACATGTTGAAGAGCCGGAGTAGACAGCAAACTCGGCCACAGGTCTCCGACGCCGAGGTGGACTTTCAGGAACAGCTTATCCAGGAGCGCGAAGGGGAGATCGAACAGATCGAGCAAGGCATCACCGAGCTCAATCAAATTTTCAAAGACCTCGGTCAGATTGTTGGGGAGCAGCAGAGCATGATCGGTGCGTCACGCAGCGGGGAGGGATCTCGCCTGATAACGGCTGACGTTTGATCTTTCACAGACAACATCGAAACCAACGTCATCTCGGTGGCGCGCGATACCCATGGTGCCTCCGATCAGCTGACTCAGGCGCACGCGTATCAGCGGAAGGCCGGTCGTCGGATGTTCTGCTTGTTGCTCGTCTTCCTGGTGGTTCTTGCAGTTGTCTTGCTCGCCGTGAGTTCTCGTGCGGATCAGGCCAGATGTTTCCTCGACTGACGGATGCCCGTACAGGTACTCTCGTGACGGCCTGTGTCTCCGGCTTCTTTGCGAACGGGTACGAGTCTTCCGTGTTGTTTCTCGTTTTGTTTTCCCCCGACTCGACTATTCCGCTCGGCTGTATCCGACTTTTCTTGTGTCACCCCCGGTAGTCTGAAATGCGTAGATGCATATTCTGTCTTGTCTCGATCCTGGCATTTGTGCGTGATGTGGGCGTGCTACGGAACCCATCGGAGGATCCGCCCGCAAAGACAATGTTTGCCTCGTACACGCTGAATGCGGTGACCACCGGTCCAGTCCATCGTTCTCGGTGGCCACCGAGCAAGGATCAGCGCATGGTGCTATGAGCAAAAGGATGCACGCTCGTTGTCCCGGGTGCAAAAAGGAGCTGCTCCGAGCAGGAGCGGGTGCTTTGGAGACGCCGGGGTTTGAACCCGGGCCCTTTCCGAAACTTTGCAAAGTGCAAACGGAACGCGCTGCCACTGCGCCACATCCCCTTCGATGTTGATCTGCCGTTCTTTACCGTATATGTAGCATGTACGGCTAACCCTGTGTCTGAGCCTCTATTCGTGTCCCATGGCCTGCTGCGCAGACCAGCATGAGTGCTTGATCCTAGCACCCTCCCTTGCGGTAAATGCACTAGAGGAGGGATGATGTGGGCAGAGGCCAGGTCTGCATTTGTCACATTGCAGGCATCCATAAATGTATGCCTGTACATAGAAGCCACTTCAGAAGTGTGCAAAAACTCAGCTGCCCTCAGGACTGCTCGGGTGGGCTTCTCAAGACGTGAGTACTATCCCGTGCAAAAAACCCTGTGAACAGTCGAGATGTAAGGTCTGCAGCTGCAAGCTTGTGTGTGTGAGCTTGATGCGCCGCTCACCCAATTTGGGAGGCCTGGCCTGAATGCATCTGAGTGTATTTTGATCTGGATCTCACCAGCCTTGGCAACAAAGACCACCTGAGCACAGATGGGCTGAAAACCAACAACAACCAGGCAGTGGCCATACCACTCATTAGTGTGGGCTGTCTTGAAGCTTGCGTGACGTGCAAATTGCGCGATGCTGTAAGGAATGAACTCCTTAACACACCTGTACCCTTCATATATGTCTTTCTGACGAACCAATCCTGCCGATTGATTCGTTCTGTGCTTCTTGGTGCAGTGGTCCGTATGATGAAAGGTGCGGCGTCACGCCGACACTCCACACTGTACCCCGTTCCCCTCTACTCTCAGCACCACCATTTCCCTCAGTGTTTCCTCCCCCTTCTATATCCGATTCCTCACTTTTCCCTCGCTCCTCTCGTCGGACTCGCTCTCTCTCCTTTCCTCTTTTCTCTTTCTTCGTCTACTCCTGAAGATCCCTTCCCCCGTAGATCCTTTATCTACTCGTGACATTGTATTGCAACTGCCGCTATACACCGTCACTTCTGAGCACGCCAACCCGAACTTTTGTCAGCGTCGCTTTGAGCTCCTCCCCTCGAGTCGGCTCATCTGGCGCTTACACTGTGCAGTCACCCAAGGTTTGCAGATAATCTTGGATGATCTGCCCACACTTCAAAGAAGAAGCGGCAGTGCTGCTCAATGGAGAAGAGTATAGAGTAGTACAAGCTGTGGAAAGAACAGGTCAGCAAAGGCTCCCAAGAACAAGAGTGAGAGGAAAAGGGCTTAGAATGAAAAAGGGACTGAGGTCAAGCGAAAGCAGACAGATCCAAAGGAGTCTACAAGAGTTCCAGAGCCATTGCCTGGAGTGAGTCAGATGCTCAACCCTGTAAATTTCACACTGTAAAAGTCACAGCTTCTGCCCCAGCCCTTCACTGCGCAGCCAAACGGGAACAGATGTGAACACATGAACAACTGCAGGCGGCATCTGGAATGTGGCAGTCCCTGCACACATGATGCTTGATATCTGAAAGCAGCTCCATGGTCGGCTGTGTGGCAAGGTGCTGGCCACAGCTGCAAGTTGCAACTGTCGACCGCACAGTGCATTTCTAGGCTTTGACCCAGCGGCGGTGCATCACGACGGCCAGAGAGTATGCATTCCTCACCTTAGTCTTGATGGATGGGAACTGCAAAAGTGTGGCACTGTCCAGCACAGCCTGCTTAGTGCTGAATCAGGCTTGCAGAGACAGAGGCTTGAGAGGAGCATGACAGGTGAAAAAGTCAAAAAGAAAGGCCCACTGGCGGAATTGAACCGCCGACCACCTCAATGCACATTCGCAAGGCGAACTGGTTGTTAAACCCGAATGAGGTATCATACTACTAGACCAAGTAGGCCTGTGATTGGTTTGTTCAAATGTTGTGTATAGATTCCAACACATTGTTTGTCGGCGTCTAGTCTTCGCATGCAGCTGAACTGAGGCCGCCCTGGTTCCGAGGTCATAAAGTGCTGATTCTGCCCTGGTCTCTACAGTGAGGATATGGAATCCAGGCCAAAAAAAAACCCATTTGAACGGCCTTTCTCATGCTAAGTGTGCTGTCTTCTTGGACAGTACAGACTGCAGTTCTATGTGCAGACTGCTACACTTTGGTGCAGCTCCACAAGTCAGGAAAATCAGGTTGCATGTAGTGAGCTGTAGAACAAGCTAGAGCCGGTTAACAGCAACTCAAGCATGGATTTTGAAGAGAGTATGAGTGAGGCGGGTGAATTGCTACAGAAGAAGAAGGAGAAGAAGAAGAAGAAGAAGAAGAAGAAGAAGAAGAAGAAGAAGAGAGGCAACTCAGGCAAGGGAGCTACTACAATTTGACCAACTGAATCCAGCAACATCCGCCAAAGGTGCGCCAAGTCTCAAGGTGTGACCGTCACTTCAAGCTGGCACAATATAAGGAGTATGTCTGCAACCAAAATGAGTGTCTGCGCTGTTTGAAAGAAAGGAACAAGGAGGAGACTTAGAAGATGAAGTCGAGTCCAAGCAAGCCGAAGCTGGCAAGCGAAGCAACACCGGACCAGCATCTGCCTCCAGCAGCAACTCTGATGCTGCCGTGAGCAGCACCAACCTTGACCAGGTTTGTTGAATGTTCGCGCGCAAAGTCTACAATGGCACTGGAACTGGAAAAGATACACTGCAGGCTTGGTGTAAGCCCAAGGCTCACGACGACGGAAAGAAGACGGTGGCGCGGAAGGGAACCGATCGAAGCTCGCTTCTCGCTCGCCGCTGGTTGTTCTCCTCATCGTATCTGACGGAGAACAACCAGGTGAGTCTTCCAGTTCTGTAGCTTAGTTCATCATCGTATCTGACGGAGAACAACCAGGCAATATACTGCGTTGCTACTCTTTTGGCTACGGTCTCGAGTGTTGGTCGATCGTCTCCCGACGCCGACCTTCCACTTGGGTCAATTGGCATCATTTTAATGGTCTTCCAGCCCTACCGCCTACTCAAAGATAGGTGCCAAGCTCTCTGCCAATTTCTATGACCCGTCGGCGGCGTCTCCGGCGCCAAGAACAGGCTTGTGGTCACCGGCTCGCTCCTCGTCAAACTTGTCCCTCTCCACCCGGTCTCGCTTTCACCCGTTTCCACTCGTCTCTCTTGCACTGCCAATTGCCTCTCCTCACGTGTCTACATGGGCTTCTATAGCTCGATATGACTTGAAACGCGATTCATCTATCCCTTTCCGCGGTTGGATTGTCAGACGACAGAGCTTCTCAAGCTCGTGCACACGGGTGGGTAGATAGATGATTCTTGTTTCAAGTCATGTCGAGCTATAAGAGCCCATTTAGACAAAAATGCTAGAAGCACAGACGGATGGAACGGATAGAAGGGGAGGATGGGGAGGGCAGAGAAAGCGGAGAGGACAAGGAGAGTGGGTATAGTGAAAGGGAAGGGACAGACTCAAATCAAATCAAAGCTCAAGGCAGCGGATCCTCGGATGGCGGGCAGTTAAGCGAGTCAAATTGACCAAGAGTCCGCGAGAAACCGGTCGCGCGCGGGTCGCTGAGCAGGTAGGCAGGGAGAGGGATTTGAGCCGGAGGGAGGAAAGGAGGGTAGCGTGCGGGATGGCGTAGAGCGGGCAGTGGAGGAAGAGGTGTTCACGGGTTTCCGGCTCGCCGCCGCAAGCGCAGAGGAGTTGTTCGGGTTTGAAGTGCGCCTTGTAGGCGTCAAGGTTGCAAGCGCCAGTGCGTAATCGAGTGAGGAGAGTCGAATGGCGGCGTGAGAGCGACGAGTGATAGCGGGTGAAGGATAGATAGATAAGTCTTGTTTCATGTCATATCGGGACCGGGAGGGGAGGTCGTGATGGCGCGGAGTTGGCCGCCAATGGGTGAGGTTGACACGTGCTATTGACACGGGCTCATTAGCTCGAGATGGCTTGAAACAAGATTTATCTATCTACTTGACGTGAACTTGATCAACTTGAGGTCGTATGGAGGTCGCCGCTACGTCGTCACATTGGTCGACAACCACGCTCGCATGCTCTCGGTCCAGGCTCTCGCCCCCAAGAACGACATCCACGGAGCCTGCCAGCGCTCCAAGGCGGCTATCTATCTATCTATCTGCCGAGAACAAGTCGGGCAGGTCCCAGCGCCGACATCCTGACCGAACACGGGATTCACCACGAGATGCCACCGCCATACTCTCCGCAGGCTAACGACGTTGCGGAGCGGATCAACCGGACCCTCGTCGAGCGCCTGATTTCACTGCTCAATCAGGCTCAAGCACCCAAAGTTCTCTGGGCAGAGGCGCTTCTTGCCTGTGTCTTTGTCAGGAACTGGTCGCCGCATGCTGCACTCGCTGGAGGTGTCCCACTGTCTGGCGTGGCAAATCTGTACGGGTTAACATGGGTCTGGAGTTGTCGTGCTTACCACAATGTCACCAACCGTTGTGCAAAGCTCAATGACAAAGCAGTGCCTCTGATCTTTATTGCCTACGACGGCGACACGGCCGCCTGCTGTCTCTTCTGTTCCGTCAAGGACAAATTTCCCTCAGCCCCGAAGAAAGAATCTGCGCTCCTGAGTCAGGAAACCTGAGTTGGAAGGAATTGGGAGGGTATCATAGAGAAATCTTAGGCAAAAAGGGGTGGGGAGAATCAAACCAGAACGGACTCAAGAAGGGGGATCCTCCGAGGGCGGGCAATAGAGCAAGTCAAACCGGCCGGAGTTGGCAAGGAAGCGTAGAGTTGCCTTTGTTGCACAAGGGTCGCCAAGGAGGTAGGCAAGGGCGGAGCTTTCGAGTCGGAGGGAGGAGAGGAGGGACGCGCGCTGGGAGGCGTAAAGAGGGCAGTGGGGGAGGAAGTACTCACGTGTTTCAGGGCTCGTTGCCGCATGTGCAGACAAGTCGTTCCAGTTCGAAATGCGCCTTGTAGGCGCCGAGGTTGCAGGCGCTGGTGCATCGGCATGTGAGAGCTGACTGGCGGCGCGAGAGCGTCGAGTTGAATTGGTGAAAGTGGGATCGTTGCTTGCTTCCTTCGCTCCCAGCCAGCCATTCAAGATAGATAGATAGATAAGTCTTGTTTCAAGTCATATCGAGCTAGGAGCCCATGTAGACCAAAGATACTACTCAAAGTGGG